CATAAAAACGTCATAGTATAGTGCAGGCCAAAAAAAGTCATAAAACATCATAGTAAGAAAAGGCAGAAAAAGTCATAAAAACATCATAGTATAGTAAGGCATAAAAGTCATAAAAACGTAATAGTATAGTAAGGCAAAAAAGTCAAATAAAAAGTCATAGTTTATTAAGGCTCAAGAAGTCATAAAAATGTCATAGTACAGTGAGGCATAAAAGTCATGAAAACGTTATAGTATAGTAAGGCATGAATGAAGTAAAAAAAAGTCATATTTATAGTAAGGCATGCCAAACAAGAAAAACCTCATAGTCATAGTAAGGCATAAAAAGTAAAAAAAATGTTACAGTATAGTAAGGCATAAAAAGTCATAAAAACGTCATAGTATAGTAAGGCATAAAAAGTCATAAAAACGTAATAGTATAGTAAGGCAAAAAAAGTCATAAAAAAGTCATAGTTTATTAAGGCTCAAGAAGTCATAAAAATGTAATAGTATAGTAAGGCATAAAAAGTCATAAAAACGTCATAGTATAATAAGGCATAAAAGTCATAAAAAACATCATGGTATAGAAGGCAGAAAAAGTCATAAAAACGTCATAGTATAGTAAGGCATAAGAAGTCATAAAAATGTCATAGTATAGTGAGGCAAAAAAAGTCAAAAAACATCATAGTATAGAAAGGCAGAAAAGTCATAAAACATCATAGTATAGTAAGGCATAAAAAGTCATAAAAAGGACATAGTATAGTAAGGCATGAATGGTTTAAAAAAAAAAGTCATAGTATAGTAAGGCATGCAAACGTTCAAAAAAGTGATACTACAGTAAGACATGAAATCGTCAAAAAAAGTCATAGTATAGTAAGGCATAAAACAAGAAAAACCTCATAGTATAGTAAGGATAAAAAAGTAAAAAAAATGTTACAGTATAGTAAGGCATAAAAAGTCATAAAAACGTCATAGTATAGTAAGGCATAAAAGTCATAAAAACGTAATAGTATAGTAAAGGCAAAAAAAGTCATAAAAAAAGTCATAGTTTATTAAGGCTCAAGAAGTCATAAAAATGTAATAGTATAGTAAGGCATAAAAAGTCATAAAAACGTCATAGTATAATAAGGCATAAAAAGTCATAAAAATGTCATAGTATAGTAAGGCATAAAAACGTCAATAAACGTCATAGTATAGCTGAGGCATAAAAAGTCATAAAAATGTCATAGTATAGCAAGCATGAAAAGTCATAAAAATGTCATAGTATAGTAAGGCATAAAAAGTCATAAAAACGACATAGTATAGTAAGGCAAAAAAAGTCATAAAAACATCATGGTATAGAAAGGCAGAAAAGTCATAAAAACGTCATAGTATAGTAAGGCAAAAAAAAGTCATAAAAACGTCATAGTATAGTAAGGCATAAAAGTCATAAAAACGTCATAGTATATTAAGGCTCAAGAAGTCATAAAAATGTCATAGTATAGTAAGGCATAAAAACGTCATAGTATAGTAAGGCAAAAAAGTCATAAAGACGACATGGTATAGTAAGGCAAAAAAGTCATAAAGACGTCAATAAACGTCATAGTATAGTAAGGAATAAAAAGTCAGAAAAACGTCATAGTAAGGCATAAAAAGTCATAAAAATGTCATAGTATAGTAAGGCATAAGAAGTTATAGTATAGTAAGGCATAAAAAGTCATAAAAAGTCATAGTATAGTAAGGCATGCAAACGTCAAAGAAGTGATACTACAGTAAGACATGAAAACGTCAAAAAAAAGTCATAGTATAGTAAGGCATAAAAAGTCATAAAAACGTAATAGTATAGTAAGGCATAAAAACGTCATAGTATAGCAAGGCATAAAAAGTCATAAAAACGTCATAGTATATTAAGGTATAACAATATCAAAATACATCATAGTATAATAACGCATAATAATTTTAAAAAACTTCAACCACCACCAGCCTACAAAATTGATACTAGACAGGATGGATCCATGATTTAATGTTGTTCACGTCAAATTCTGACCCTACCATCCAAATGTCGCAGCAGAAATGAAGCCTCATCAGACCAGGCAACAATCACCAATCTCCTATTGTCCAATGTTGGTGAGCCTGTGCAAACTGTAGCCTGTTTCCTGCTCTTAGCTGACAGGAGTGGCGTGGTCTTCTGCTGCTGCAGCGCACCTGTTCCAAGGTGCGATGTGTTTTGCGCTCAGTTGCTCAGTTGTAACAATTGGTTATTAGAGCCACGGGTGCTCCGCTCAGTCTCAGTCTCTGCTTAGCACTGAAAAAAGCATAATAGTGGTAATTTAAATAGCGGTTCATGGGATTTATTAACCCTCAGGGGTCCCTCTGTCCTTTTTTGGACATTTTCTTCACTTTTCTTTTTTGATTTGCTGATCATTTTGGCTGTGTTACAGCTGAAGGCATGGATTTCAGCAAGAAAGTGTCTTTTTTGACATATTTTTAAAATCTAATGTCAGTTACTGTTACAGGTCTATTATACACTGGTAACACATTTTGTACCCTCTGGGGTTCCTCGCGTCCAAAAAAGGACACAAAGAAAATGCTATAAAATCATCATATATCAATATTTATTTCTGCTTTTTTTTGCATACATCTCTTAAACCACTTCAGTTCTGCTCAAACCCACCAAATGTTTATTAGTTTTCAGGATTTTAACCCTTTAAATGCCAGTTTGAAGACATGTTGCCTCATGTTTTATTAAAAAAAACAACACAGAATATGAGATATTTCCCACATAATACATGATGGAGGGATGTGACATTGTTTTATATCAGAGTCTTTTATATCAAGACATTTCTCAAAACCAGAATATGATCAGGGTGGCTTTTGAACACTGGAAATAAATCATGTACTCATCCCGGCAGTAGCCCCCGTGGCACTCAAAATTTCCCTGGAATTTTCTAGTTTATATTGAAGTTGTCAGTAGATCAGCAGTTTCTGAAATACTCAGCCAGCCACCCTTCTTCCCAATTCTGATGCTCGGTTTGAACTTCAGCATATTGTCTTGACCACTTCTACATGCCTAAATGCATTGAATTAGATATTTTATTATCGTTATTATATTTTAACGAGCAGTTGAACATGTGTACCTAATAAAGTGGCCAATGATATATCAAAAGCTGCTAGAGCTAGATCTTAAGGTGATGTGATCTGGATTTTTAATAAAAACCAGATACATTTAGATTCATAAATAAATGAAGAGTGAAGTTTGTTAATAAATAAACAGGATCAAAGAGAAACTTTTAATTTCAATACAATTTACAGCAAAAACAGACAAGTACAAAAGATGGAGACGATTGTTACAACATTCTTCTAAAAAACAAACACACACACTCAGTGTGAACGACGCTGGTGTCAACACAGTATTTACATCTGTTAAACATCACTTGTCTTCTAACGAGCGAGGAGTCTGCGGCGGCTCGTCTGATCCACCAGCCGGTGATACTCGTCCAGTTTGTCTCGAACTTTGTTATAAATCTGAAGGAAACAGAAAAAGTTTCATCAACAGACTTAATGTGATCTCAGATCAATAATCACTTCAGGATCAATAACTGAGCCTCCTGATCCCAACAGTTTAAGATAAATCTGACGGATTAAAGCTTTACATTTGTAAGGCAGGGTTTATACACACACACACACACACACACACACACACACACACACACACACACACACACTTAACGTGTGGTGAATGTAAACAGGAAGTGACGAGCACTCACACAGCTGTTGGTCTGAGTCTCAGTGAGTGCCTGAAGCAGCTGATCGATGGAGGTGTACGGCAACCAGACCGAAGACCAGGTTGCAGACAGAGGCCTCTGAAACACACAGGACAGCACACTGTTACACAATGTAACACAACATTACAACACAATGTTAATACACAATGTTAAACAATATAATGTGTGCGTCCAGAACAGATCATGTTTATCTACCTCTGTGTCTGATTTGCCAGACATATCACATTTAACTGATGCAGTACTTGTAGTACTTGTGTGCAGTATTACCTCTATTCCAAAGTACTGGTGTCCCCTCCCCAGCAGAGCGTCCACGTACTCCAGGACCAGATCAGCTGCAGCTTCCAGGAGGTCAAAGTTCAGGTAGAGACGCAGCAGAGATGCCGCATCCACAGCCTGAGACAAGCAAAGCATGATGGGAAATAAACACACAGAAAACTAATTTCCTGACCATTCATCCATCCATCCTCTCCACCAAGGAGGTTGTGTTTCCAGCCTTGTTTGTTTATCTAGCTGCAGGATTACACAAACGGTTTTAAACCACTTTGCACCAGAGTTGGTGGAGGGATGGGTCCTGGTCCTGGTGATTCTGGTTCTGATCTGAGCTGCATCTGGTTTTCAGTGTTCAGTCTGGTTCAGATCCAGGTGATAATCTGGATCCTGGTGATAATCTAAATCCCAATCCTCCTCTAACACAGACCACTTGAGTCCAGTCCTGTACTGTCTCTGCTGGATCAATAATTTAAAGCCTCCCTCTTCCTCATTGGCTGATTTCTCACCTTATAAGACTTGACCAGCCAATCAGGCAGCGGGGCTCCATGTGACAGCAGCTTGTTGATGACACAGCGGTGATGCTGTCCGTTAGAGGAAGGATACCTGTCCAGGTAAGAGGCCAGGAGCCGCCAGGCTTCGTCTGTAGCGCTGAGAGAAGAGCAAACAGACGACAAGATGAACCCCGAGATAATGACTGATTATTGGAATAAATTCACGTTGGGATTTCAACATGTCATCATGTTCAAACTGATTCCGTCAGTTTGACTTTCATAATAAACATGAGGTGATGTGACAACACCTGATAATATTCAGATGATTGATCAGAGATATACAGTAAATCAGATGATTGATCACATGAAAAGAAAATGTTCAAACCTCGACTCTTTGGTGTTGACGACTGATGACAGCTGATTATCAGCCAACCAGCTCCAGGCTTCGTTCTGAGCCTCCTCCCCCCCAAACTGAAGCCTGACACACCTGAGCAGACAC